TGACTAGAAAGGGACAGAGTGAGCGAGGGGGGGGGGGAGAGAGAGAGAGAGAAGGAAAGTGAGAAGGCAAGCTACCAGATCCGGACTCAAACTGTGGTTGGCCATGTGGGAGTCCAGTGCCCTTAACCACCACACCATTTGCCATCCCTGTGATTTACTTCTTTTTTATATAGTTTCTGGTTCTATACAAAATTATCAATATTGTCTTTTGTTATCTTGAACATGGTAAGTATAGTTATTTTAATATCTATCCAATAACTCTGATATCTATAATCTGCAAGTCTATTGATTTTCTGTGTTTTACTGTTTCTAATTCATGTTATCTTGGCTACTTATATGCCTGGTTCTTTTGAATTTTGTTCCAAATATTTGCAAGGCTGTTGATAGAAATAATTGGAGGAGGCTCTAGTTTATGTCATTTTTCTCTAGGGAAGATTTACTTTTGCTTCTTTTAAGAACCTAGGGGCACGAGTATTCCAGATTGGCTATTTCAATTTCAAGGATCTGAGATAATTCAAAACTGAGCTATGCTCCCTCCAAGGGATCACCTACTTCTAATTCATCCTTATTTTTAGTGGCAGGATCCCTACTGAAAGTGAAATGGGTTTGCCCATGACCACCACCTCCTCCTCCTCCTCCTCCTCCTCCTCCTCCTCCTTCTCCTCCTCTTCCTCCTCCTCTTCCTCCTCTTTTTTCTTCTTCTTCGGCCCTACTCTAATCTCTGTCCTACCATCCCCATGAAGCTGCAAAACCCCTACTCAGAATCCATCTACTCCTCTGAATTGGCAAATTCTCCAGGAAAAAGACCATGTCAAACCTGGATTCTCCTCCATGGCATTTTTTTTTTCTCCCAGATTATGGCCCAATAATTCTACACTGTCTTGTGAGCTCTCCAGTATCTTTAGGCAGATGTTTTGTATACTTATTCTAGTAATCTCTGGAATGGATACTGATTTAAATTACCTAGTCTTCATTACGCAGAGTGGAAACCCTAGTATCTTTATTTCATAAGTCAGCTAATTGGTTCCAGAGGGACTGAATCATAGCTAGTTAATAGAGATAACCAAGACCCAAGTATCCTGATTCTGTGTAATGCTTATTCTACTGGTTACACCAGTACTAAAGCATGAAGATAGATCTAGTAACATTTCAGTATTTGCTGTGCTCAGCACCACTGTTTTTAAGTCACTGAGCAGCAAAGAATCTCTATTCCCAGAAACTTGTGGAAAACACTAAAGTAAACAGTGCCCCTCCCTCACTTTCCCATCCAATTAAATTTGTTTTCAATTTAAGCCCCTTTTTAAAAAGTGAGCTACAGGGACCAGCAGTTGGTGTAATAACTATGTCAGTGGACTCCCATGTAGTCTAACGTGGTTTGATTCCCAGACCCAGTGGCTTACTCACGCTGGGCGTGTGTGTGTTCATGCCCAAGAGCCCGAGAGGAGAATGGAGGAAAAGGGATTGCGGTGTGGCCATCCCCCCTGGGGGGATGATTTCTCACTTTCTGTCTCTCTGTCTCTCTCTGTCTTTCTGGCGAGTGCATGCGCCCTATAGCAAAAACCTCTCCCCCCCCCCCAAAGAAAAGTGAGCTACAACTGCCCTCGTCCCCATATAAATTCTCTATTTGAAAACTGCTATGGATTTAGTGAACACTTGATTACTGTCACTATTTTTTAAAGTAGGATTCTGCTGTGTTTTATGACAATATTGGTCCTCTGTTTAAATACAAAAAAACGTAATAACTAATTCAAGGATTGGTGTTCCAAAGTAGGGAAGAAATATTGGTTAACTGTTGGTGTGTAACAACTCATTCTAAAAGGTAGTGCATAAAATAATAGCAGTTTATTATTTCTCATGATTTAGCAGGTTGAATGAATAGTTCTGCTGGGCTCACCAGGGCTCACTGAGCAGCCGTGGTCAGCTGAGGCTGACCGATCTAAGATGGTGTCTCTCAAAAAGCAGGACTGGATAGTGGGGTGCCTATGCCACCATCATGTAGTCCTTAATGCTGGGCTTCTTCACACACTGGAGGGAGTGTTTCAAGAGGGCACAACCTCTCAAGAGCCAGAATTTGAAAGTAACCCAGGGTCACTTCTACCATATTCTGTTGGTTAAATAGGAACCAAGCCAGCCCAGATTGAAGGAGTAAGATAGAGACGCCACCTCTTAATGGGAGGTGCTGCAAAATATTGGGGTCATGTTTTTCATTCTCTCGCAGATGACAAAATTTAAAAATGCAGGGGATGGGCATAATAATGGTCCCTAAATTGCAGTACCAACTCCCTGAGACAATTTAAGTGTCATTTCTGACCCTAACTACCCAGAGTAAGCATCTGACCTGACAAGTTAAAGGTCAAGGTCCCCAGTGAGACTGCCCTTGATTTTAGATACCAGCTACAAGTGGGGTCCCCAGGACACTTGTACTTCTGTCTGACTTGGGTACAAATTTGGGGGGTCTCTGTGACCCCATCCTTCACATTCAGTGGTTTGCTAGAATGATTCACAAAACTCAGGAAGATGCTATACTTCAGTTATGATTTTATTATAAAAGATACATATGAACAGTAGATGAGGAACATACAGTGGCAAAGGCAAGGTCCAAGTATGGGGGGCATCTGTCTCCATGGAGCTGTGAAGTCAGGTGTGCCGTCTCCTCCTCCCTGCACGTCGATATGTTCATCAGCAAGGACGCTGCTCCCAGCCTCAATGTCCTCAGGTTTTTTTCGTTTTTGTTCCCCCAAGTCAGGGTGTCGTCACATAGGTACAGTTGATTAAGTCACTGGCCACATGACTGAACTCAGTCTCTAGTCTCCTTAATCTCTGCAGAAATTTCTAAGGTTTTTGAATCTCTATGCCATAAAACAAACAAACAAATCATTATATGTATGTAAATACATCTTTATTTACATACATGCATATATAATTATATTTTAACATACTATATATGTGTGTGTGTATATATATATATATATACACACACACATATACACACAAATACACAATTATACACACACATTTTAAATTATTATACCGTGGTCACCCAGGACATCCATGTCCTAATTCCCAAAGCTTGTGAACATGTTATGTTACATGGCAAGGCAGAACTAAGGCTGCAGGACTGAGGTTGCAGGTGGAGTTACGGCAGCTCATTGGCAGGCCTTAAAATGAGGGATACCCAGGTGGGCCCAAGGTAAACACAAGAGCCCTGTGGGGAAGAAGGAGGAGAAAGAATGAGAACCAGGGAGAGAACGTCATGAGAGACCCACTGGCCATTGCTGGCTTCAAAGATGGAAGGGAGGCCACAAACTGAGGGATGTAGGTAGCTTCTAGAAGCAGGAAACAATCAGAAAACAGGTGTTCTCCTAGGTTCTCCAGAAAGCAACAACCCTGCTTGACTTTAGCCCATTGAGACCTGTTTCAGACTTCTGACCTCCAGAACTGCAAGACAATAAAATTATGTTTTGTTTTTCTTTTTTAGTTTTTTTTTTTTCTTTTTTTGCCTTAGGGCACATGTGCTCACCAAAGAGACAGAAAGCAAGAAATCACCCTCCAAGGGGGATGGGTACACCTCAGTCATTTCTCCTCTTGGATTTTGGGTACACATGCACGCTTTGCGTGAGTACTAAGCCATGAGGTCCGGGACTCGAACCACAGTCTACTATGTGGGAGTCCAGCAGCATAACCGTTACACCACCTGCTGGTCCCAAAATTATGTTGTTTGAAGCCGCTACATTTATGATTCTATGGTACCACAGGTGTGACAGTCTGCTGAAGCAGCATTAGGTAACTACTTTCTCTAAGCAGAGCTTCTTCCGAGCAGCAGCCCTGCTAAGAGAAACGAAGGAAACAACTTTACTTTTCATCCAGCAGGACAGCATGATAAATATACAATTGGAGCCTCCGTTTTAGATGTTGAAAACTGTTCCCCTGTTCAAAATGCAAGCAAATTCACATTCTTCAAATCTCTCCTTAAATTATTTACTACCCCTTTCCATCTCTCGCTCACAGTAGAGCTCAAAGCTGCCTAATTTAACTAGAGAGGACTCTATATCTTAATTAAAGTGCATCTGTGTGTCTGAGAGATAACAGATTCAAAGAGAATGAAACTCTTTACACTTATAAGTAGGATACATTTGACCTCAGTGATTCATCCAATGATAATTTATTCATTATAGTATCTTCAGTATACCAGGATGTGTGCCAACCAGGTTTTTATTTAAAAGGAGTTATAATCTCATGCATGGTACAACACTTAATTGGCTCTGAGGGAAGGATTTCTAGCTGGGCTCTTTCCTAGAATCACTGATGCCTACAGGTAATTCTGTAACTTCTCTACTTACCCAAAAAGTTTCATCTCTCAAAAGCACAAACAAATGCAATAATATTAACACTTACTCAGTGACAGAACTGTCCTTGTTATTTGACATTCTTCATTATACTTGATCTTTACCATAGTTACTGCCTTTTTCTTCTTTAAAATTATTTTATTTAACTTTATTTGTTGTTGTTATTATTTTTAATTTGACCAGAGAGAGAGAAAGAATGAGAGAGAGAAAGAAAGTTAGAAAGCAAGCCACCAGGTCCAAGACTTGAACCATGATCAGCAATGTGGGAGTCCAACACCCTTAACCACCATGCCACTTGCCAGCCCCAGTTGTTGCCTTTTTCTATGGCATTACTTCTTTAATTAGTTTAGCATTGTTTCCATAAATACGTAAAAGATTGGTGTTTACATGGCTCACTTATTTACTCCCTAGTATTATCTTCTTTCTACTATTCTTAGGAATCCTAAAACATAGTAAAATAAGTTTAATTCAATGCATAAAAACTTTAACCTTGAAATGATAGGGAAAGGAAGAATAGTACCTTTTTTTTTTTTTAAAAAACAAGTACATGCCTGAGAAATTAGAGGCATCGATCTTCATGTGACATAATTAACACTGTTTATACATTAGTGTTCCTAGTCTGGGAAACTTACATTTGCTGATTTCTTTCTTCAGGAACCATATTATGTACGTTGCATCAAACCCAATGACAAGAAATCCCCGCAGATATTTGATGATGAACGCTGTCGGCATCAAGTGGAGTATCTTGGATTACTTGAAAATGTGAGAGTACGTCGGGCAGGATTTGCCTTCCGTCAGACTTATGAGAAGTTTCTTCACAGGTGGGAATAGACTAAGCAGAGAAGCCCAAGACTGACTGAGCCCCCCCCATCTAGGACAGTGCACCAGCACATACTAGGCAGTCTGTAAATGGTTGTTGAATGAACAAAGAGGAAATTGCAGATAGGAGAGATTTTCCCCAAATCAGCAGGAGTCCCTGAGTTCATGTTCTTAACGAACGGTTGACAAAGTTCACTCTTTTCTGGGTAAATATGAGCATCATAGTATAGTAAAAAGAGCATGAATTTGGAAACACATCTGGGTTGGAATCTCAACTCTGCCACTTACTTGTTACATATTTTTGATCCAGAAATTTAACTTCTCTGACTCTGTTTCTGTATCTGAAAAATTAGGATAATGATACCTCATAGGATAGTGTTGTGAGGATTAAACAGCCTAAGTCATAGTATGGGCGCCTAGCAGATAAGAGATGTTCAATTAATGCTATTTATGCTTATCAATATCAGTAATGATTGTAATAATAAAGAACTAAAGAGTTAAGCATAGAAGCCCTAAAATTTATATACCCAGTTTGAATCCTAGCTTTTTGGTTTTCAGTTTTGTAACCTTGGGCAAAACACATAACCTTTCCACATCTTAGTTTTCTCGTGTGTAAAATGGGATATTGGTGACTACCTTAGGGCCCACTAGGTGGTACAGCGGTAACTGCTGCGTAAGCAATGCTGGGTCTGTATGGAGGGTCTCAGGGTCAGTTCCAGAGTCAACCTGAACACTCTGGGGCGTGTGTCCGTGATCCTGGCTGGCTCCATGTGCTTTGGGGCATTGCGACACAGGACCCTGTCCAGGGTGCTTGACGTCTGTCTGTCTGTCTCCCTCCATCTCTCTCTCAGCTCCCCCTGTCTCTGTCTCTTACTCTCATGAAAGGACAAATAAACTAAAAAAAAAAGTCACTATCTTATAGGGTAACTAAGTGATTGAAGTAATATATATAAATCGCTCAGGATAGTACATGGCATACAGTAATGACTTAATCATTTAAAAAATTGTCACCATTTGTTAATTTATTGCTAATAATCCTTGACAACTGAGAATTAGAAAAATAATGTTTTAAATTCTCTCTGTTCAGTTATTTTAAGATATTAAATGTTGGGACCAGCAGATGGCATAATGGTTATGTCGCTGGACTCCTACATGGCCAACTTCGTTCAAGTCCCAGACCCAGGGCCTTGAACCTCACGCCAGGCATGTGTGTGTGCATGCCCAAAATCCCGAGAGGAGAATGGAGAAGGGATTGGGGCATGGCTTTTCCCCCAGGGGTTAATTTGTCACTTTCTGTCTCTTTGTCTCTGTCTCTCCAGCGAGCTATAGCAAAAATACCTCTCTCCAAAAAAACTTAAATGTTCCCTTCCTTCTAGACCACAGATTCTATAAAAATATTAATAAATAAGTACATAAAATTAAACCAGAAAAAAATGTAGAAAATTTGAATACTTTAAACTGGTTGTTGAGAATAGAGTCCCTGAGGAGATAATAGAATAGGAAGGAAGCAGCCTCACAAAGGTGAGAGAAAAAGTAGGTTGGGCAGAGGAAAACACTATTGTGATGGGAAGTGTGGCATTTTATCCTATCCAAACATAGTCCACTGTGATTGGAAGACACTAAGGGACAGTGCTGTGAGATGAGATCAGAGATGGAAGGGGCAGATTGTGGTGAACTTTGTAATCAGACCAAACCATTTCAATTTTGGCTAGGTGGTGAGAGAAAGCCAGTGGTGGATTGGGGTTTTACATTCATGGAGTTTTACAATCTTATGGATGTCTTAATGGTTTGCTGTGGCTGCTGTATGAATAGAAAACAAGGAGATATTTCGAGATGCTGTAGCAGGAGTCCGTGAAAGATGGCTTGGTGATAGTTCCTTCAACAAGTAATTGTTGTTAACAGAAGAATGGTGGATGTATTTGGGATAAACTCAACAAGACTTACTTGTAGACTAAGTACAATGAGACAGGAATAGAGAAGAATGAGAGACAGGAAGATTTTGGCTTGAGCGTCTCAGAAAACATAGTGCCATTCGCCCAGGTACAATTGAGTAAAGCAAATGTGAGGACGAGTGCATAAGATACGAATAGGGATGGAGGGACCACAGATGCCATAATGGTTACGTCGCTGCACTCCCACGTAGTCGACTACAATTTGAGTCTTGGACTCTGGCTTAAAACTCACACCAGGCACAGGTACATGTGTGCCCAAGATCCCAAGGGGAGAATGGAAGAGAGGGATTGTGGTGTGGCCATTCCCCCATGGGAGGTGATTTCTTGCTTTCTGTTTCTCTGTCTCTCTGGCAAGTACATGTGCCCTATAGCAAAAATCTCTCTTTTAAAAAAAAATAGAATAGGGATTGAATCAAGATTATTCTCTTGATCATGTTAACTTTGAAAGGCCTACCTAAACATCTAGAAAGAAATATTATGTAAGTCTTGGATGCACATACCTGTGTTTCTGGAAAGAAGTTCAAGCTGCAGATAAGAGATTTTAGAATCATTAATATATATAGGTTCCATATACATTATTGGGATTGGATAAAAAAGAGGAGGCAGCCTATGATGGTATTTAGATTGTGGTCTGATATGAAGGAACCAACAAAGAGAGGAGGAGTAACCGGTGATGTAAAGAAAAACTGGAAGAGGGTTATGTCCCAGAAGCTAAGAGAAGATGATATTTTAAGAAGAGAGTGGTGGCATTTAAGCGCCGCACCACCTGGCGCCATGCCCTTCAGCACAGCACAGGGAGGAGAAAGCTGACGGCTTAGGCCCTGGCAGTGGTCATGGTGGTTCTTCCTGTAGTTGGCACCTGAGGCCAGGCTTCACGTGGAAACCACATCACCATGGTGAGTGGACAACCCGGCCGACTGCCCTTGCTGTTCCTGCCAGAAGAGGCCTGGAACCTGCCGCAGCCCAAGCTGACCCACCCACGCGGCTCGTGTACATCGGCTTTCTGGGCTACTGCTCCGACCTGATCAATGTCGCACTCCAGCAGAGGCCGGTGGTGTGGGCGGTCTGCATCACCAGCTTCTGTATGTTACTTCCTTTGTTTTTATCAGCTATTATCTTTTAAAATGTCAAGACTGTATGTATGCTGTGAGGGACCATGCTATGTTTGCATGCATGAAATCACATCTGGAAGATTTTCCTAAGAAAGATAAGAAAAGTTACCATGAAATTCTTGAAGAATTACCCCCCAATGTGTTGAAGTTTTCAAAATGCTCCAGATTCACTGAGACCTGTTATATCTAAATGTTATGAAACACATTTCCATGATGGCTGAAGTTCTGTGTTTCTATGTTCTGTATGTTAACTCCTGTGATTAAAAGAGTTATTATCATGAAAAAAAAAAAGAAGAGAGTGGTCACCATATTAAATGTTGGCATGCAATCAAGTTACACAAAAACAGAAGTTTAACTATTAGATTTGGCAACAAGGAGGTCAAAGGAGAAAGCCAGAGCCTGATTTGAGCAAGACGGGATAGTAAAGTGGGGAGAACATGAATGTAGACCACTCAAGAACTTTGCTGTATGTGAGAATGGACAAGAGTGGGAAGCAGTAGCTGGAATAGGATGCACGGTCAAGAGACACTAAAAAATGTTTATATGCAGATGGGGATGATTCAGAACAAAAGGAGAAACCCGTGACGCAGGGGAGAGAGATCACTTTAATAATCACATCCTTGAGAAGGCAGGAAGGCATGACAACCCAAACACAAGCGGAAGGTTTGTCAGCCTTATAGAGGAGTAGGGTCACTTCTCCCGATACAACACAAGGCAGAGAAGGTGAAAGCTGGAAGCTTCACTGAGGCAAAGATTAAAACGTTCTTGTCTGATTGCTACTGTTTTCACAATGAAGTATGCATGTGTCAAGGTCATGAGGTGAGTGAAGGTTAGGAGAGGCTGGAGGGGAAATGAGAAATACTCACTTTGGAGAGTAGGAAAGCACAGGTCTGTGTAATACAATTGCTGCCAGGAAGAGCTGAGTGTCAGGTGAGATTTGAGATTATAAATGTAAAGTAAGGCTGCCTAGCATGGTCGGTGTTCCTCTACCAGGAATCACCTACTTGTATTCAGAAGTAAGAGGTTGCACTCAGTGGAGACTCTTATTTGGAATGACTAAAACCTTATAACATGCACTAGTCCAGGAAGTTGGAATTTAACTTCACAGTAATCAAAAGCTTATGGCTGGGGCCAGCAGGTGCTACAGTGTTTAAGGTGCTGGACTCCCACATGGCCAACCACAATTCGAGTCCCAGACCTAGAAGCTTGAAAATCACACTGGGTGCATGTGTGTACATGCCCAAAATCCTGAGAGGAAAATGAAGGAAAAGGGATTGTGGCATGGCCATCCCCAGGGGGTAATTTCTCACTTTCCTTCTCAATCAATCAATCAATCTCTCTCTCTCTCTCTCTCTTTCTCTCTCTCTCTCTCTCCCTCCCTCCCTCTCTCCCTCTCTCCCTCTCTCCCTCTCTCCTTTTCTCCCTCTCTCCCTCTCTCCCTCTCTCTCTCTCCTCAGCAAGTACGCATGTCCTATGGCAAAAACATATGGAAAAAAAAGTTATGCTCAAAATTGACTATTTTCTTGTTGAAATCACACAGAAAAATCTATTTTTCCTCCTTATTGAGGCTCTGTATTAGAAACATTTTTTTATGAGTAGAAATATGTTCATCTCTTGATGTCTTGATTTCAAACAGTGTCAGATTATATTATTAGAAAGACTTCCAGAGGCCAGGAGGTGGCATGATGGTTAAGGTGCTGAAATTCCATATAGCTGATTGTGGGTCGAGTCCTGGACCTGGTGGCTGGCTTACGCTCAGTCATAGACCTGGAGGCTTGTTCTCTCTCTCTCTCTCTCTCTCTCTCTCTCTCTGTGTGTGTGTGTGTGTGTGTGTGTGTGTCTTTCTCTGGCAAAATTCAAGTGAAATAATAATAATAATAATAATAAATTAATTCTTTTTTAATAAAGAAGTATTTCTAATCTGTTGCTATTACTTGT